CATGCTTTGAAAATTATGTACCATAAGTGTTGGAGTTTTTCTTAGGCATTGAATGTAAAATAAAGAAGATCGGAATATTATCTGATCATCTGTCGCTTTGTTCCACAACAAATCTACATAAATCTTAGTCCTAATATTACATAAAAAGAATATGCTTTTTGAGCTTAGCTTTTAGGATTTTTCTTTTCTTGTTTTGAATTAATGTTGATTTCCTTTCTTTATAGGGAAGCATAAATATATCTCTTTTGATTGCAAAGGGCAGTTGGGATGGCAGGTTTGACAATAAATTCTTTATTATACGACTATTCCAATCTTCTTGAAGAGACAACTTTACAATGATCAAGGAAGACAAATTAAGGTTCATTCTCTCGATCATGTTACCAAGGGACCTAAATCTGTATAAATTTGAATATAAAAATCACGCATGACTTCACGTGATTTAGATATGGAGGTTAAATGGTATGAAAGTTTTTTTCTCCAACTTTAAATCTCGTGAAAGTTGAATATAAATTAAGGTTCATTCTCCCGATCATGTTACCAAGGGCCCTAAATCTGTGTAAATTTGAATATAAAAATCACACATGACTTCACGTGATTTAGATATGGAGGTTAAATGGTATGAAAGTTTTTTTCTCCAACTTTATTGTATGTCAAATGGTACTCCGGTACGGCATATCCCTCTATGTTAATGGTTGTATGTCAAATGGTACTCCGATACGGCATACCCCTCTATGTTGAAGAAATGTTCGTATGTCAAATGGTGCCCTCGGGTACGACATACCCCTTCATGTCAAATGGTGCCTCTGGGTACGACATGTATAAAAAGTTATAAAGTTAATGTTTTGAAATGTATAGCTTGATCACGAATGCAGCTATGATACCTATTGAGTTTTTCAACTCACGAGTTTAATCCCATCTCTACAGATTGAAGGAATTCTACCTCGGGCATGGATGGAGGAGAAGATGGAGAGTAATGCAACGAGCCCATGGAAATCCGGCGAATAAGTGATTTGGATTTATTTTTATAAAATGTTTTCCAATGTTATTTCTTTAAAATTTTGAATAACACAGAATGCGAGAACAAGTTATGTTTTCTTCAAATAAATTACATTTTGTTGTTTTGAAAAATGATTCAGTGTTTTTGTTTAAAGTATTTGAAGTATTGTTATTTAAATTATTATCTGAAGATGTAAGCTTCCGCTAAAACATATACACTTGTTACTAAACTACCGGTTAAGCTAAGTAAAATAAGTAGCGTTCCGATCCACTAAGGGTCGGGGCGTTACATAAATAATTCATTTAATTCACATTTCATTTAGCCTATCATCTAACGACACATAAACTGGAGCTGCAATCCCAATAGGACTAAATATAGTTTGTTTTTTTATGCAGATTTTAGGACATTTTGATTACATTTAACTATAATTTATAGTTTTGTCTTGTTGCTTGTTAAGTATAGAAATTAGTTAAAATTTCACGTGCAACTTAATTTTTGCATTAAAAAGGAAGCAGCCGAAAATTTTCTGACCGCTGGACACTGAACCAAAGACACAGCCTCAATTGATGACCCGTGGAAACAGTCGCAATTTTTGACAAAAATGAAGCTGTCATAACTTTTACAGACCGATTTACCAATAATGCCCCCTAGCCCAAAAATTTTAAGAATTACAAAAGGGCAATTTCGATAATTCAAATATTAAAATATATTTCAACTTCAATTTGTTCAACAATTGCGACGGCTGGATTGATTTTGAAATTGAGGGTGCTTCCTCAACACATATTGCAACGGTAGGAAAAGTGATAAAAATCCACTCATAATCTCCTTCAGACAAGCGCATAATTGGCATACATTTTAACTATCTTCGAAAATTCAAATAATACATTTTGTGACATTTGAGATAGCATAATTCGCTAAATTTAAAATGTGAGTATAAGACCCCTTAAGATGATATTCAGCTATATTTTTATAGTTTTAAATTTAGCCCCCGTTTGGTACTCATTTTTTTCAAAATGCATTTTTCTCTCTTCTTTTCAACTACACATTATTTATTAAAATAATATTACACGTAAATCAAAATTTTTCTTTATTTTTCAACCACACACTTTCCATCAAGTTACTATTCTAAAATGCATTTTTATATAAAAATACCTTTCAAACACCCCCTTAATAATATTGTAAAAAATAAATAAAATATTAAAAAAAATTAACTCTGTCTCGTCTCTCAAAAACCCATGGCTGTTGCCATCCCTGAAACGTGCAACAACAATTAAACAATTATGAGTTTATCAAACTCATAACGGTTTCCAAAAACCAGAAAATATTTAAATTTTGAATTAGACAATGTCTATTGAATATATTATAGGAATTCATATATACTTTTGAAGTTTTCAACAAAAAAAAAGTCTCAAAATAATCACTTAATAATTATAAAACATAAATTATCTCTTTTACAATCGCTTCTTCTCTCAATTGATTTCTATTGAGTGGATAACTCTTGGCGATGTTACATATCCAATCGAGAGTGGTGATTTTGTTTTGAAAGTCTTGGAAATGCTCTACTTGAATCGTTTTTACTTTGCAATAGAATGAGGTTTTGTACTAGATAAGTTCATTTTGTGCACTCATTCGAACCATATTACGAAGCTTTTTATGTTGAAAAAGTATTGACTTCTACTTAAATTGGGTTAATTTTAATTTATTTCAGTGATAGATCTGTTTCTAAGCAATTGAAAAAAGAAAAATGGTGAAATCCAAAGTATGAGGGCTAAATTGCAATATTTTAGTAGTTGATTATGACGAAATTAGATGTTGAAGGGTTGAGATTGCACGAGAAAAGGATTTAAAAGAATCAAGAATTGAATTCGAGGACTAAAACACAAATTTTGAAAGTTGACATAATTGGACGGTTATACTGGCTTATAGGGCTAAAATGGGTGCCCAGGCGACTGCATGGGTTTTGCTTGGGCAATTGCCCAGGACAATCGCATCGAATAATTGGTTTTTGTTTCAGAATTTCAAGCAAACAAGAAAAATTCTTCTTGGCCAATTTTGCACGAATTCTAGGGACTTTTGAGCTTATGGGAAAGCATTATAAATATCAACTCTCAACACATAATTAGGGTTAGAGAATTGATTACAAAAGGAGGTGAAGAACACATAAAGATCAAATTTCAAGATTGAATTCAAGAATTTTTGGGTGATGAACAATTTTTGTTTCTTTTGTTTTCTTCTTCATAGCGATGGTAGAGTACTTAGTGCCAGGAGAACAATGAATCTTGTAATATGAGTTTTTAATCTTTAGTTTTACATCTTTGATATTGAAAACAAATCTTTGGATATTGAATGGCTTACATGATCATCTTTTCTCTACAATTATTGAGCATAGTAGTTGTGTGAATTTTTGGCTTATTTAATGCATTCGAAATAAGGAAAATATGCTCGACATGGTGTAAATTGTCATAGGATTCGATAAGGGGAAGAAATATACCACTATACTCTATGTGAATTTTTAAGTGTTCATAAAAATTCATACATTCTTGTATGTTCGCATCCGTCATAAAAATATAATCGAGTCATATATGAGAGTAGGTTTAATATTACTCAAGAGAAATTGTTGAATAAAATAGGAATATTGATTCTTTAAAATTTAATAGTATTGTTAAAGTGTAGAACTAAGGTTAAAAATTAATAATGCATAGGAATTTGGGATTCTAGTGTGCTTGTCATGTATTAAAACACATCAACTTGCATCTAACACAATTTGCATTTAGCTTAGATAACTACCAATACATCACATTATTATTGTTTCGGTTAAGGTCTCGATAATTAAAATTGAACTAAATCAATCTTTGTGGAATAATACTTGGAGTCAAAACCACTTTATTACTTGTTAACGAATCGTACACTTACTGTGATTTTAAATCAAAAGATATTTTAGTAAACAATGCCCCTCGTTACGTAAGGCATCTCCAATGGATGCCCTATTGCACCAAAATTTGGCGCAAACCTTCTTGCAACCATTGCACCATTTTGGTATAAATAGTGTTGCGTCATATTTGGTGCAACACTATTCATTGCACCATTTTTTGCACCAAATAGTGCAATTTTCGTTTTGTCCTTATTTTTATTTTTTAAATAATAATGGTTAAGGATATTTGTGTCATTTTTGTTCTATGATGATGATGATAATAATAATTAATTAATCACACTATTTAATTATATTATTAAGGTTTATTATTTTTAATAATATAATCAATAATAATTGAGGCTTTTTTAATTTAGTAATTATTTTTGTAAATTTAACGTAACTATTAATCATACATTAATAATATAATCAATTATTTTCATCAACATAATATATAAAACATGTCAATAATTTAGTAATCAATCTATTTGTTAATTTAACGAAGTTATAATTTAGTAATTTATATAGTTATAAAATAATTAAATAAATACATCGTCAAAAATCGAAACAATGAATAAAATAATAAAACACTGTTAATTTGGTGTAAGTTTTGGTGTAATAGTTGGAGAAGAATTTTGGTTTGATACAAATTTTGGTGCAGCACTGAAAATAACCTTAGCAACACTTAGAAAGTTAGAATCACAAAAAAAGAAGGGAAAAAAAAATAGGGGAGGAAAAACAAAAATAGCATTTGAAACACTAACATATGTATAAATCATATACTACATAACAAAATGTTATCAATATCTACGTCAAATGTTCAAAAATAACTAAACATAGATATACAAATACTACTGGTGGTGGAGTTATGGATTGATTATATTCAATCTTCCTTCAATTTCCCATGTTAAGGAGAGACATACATTTGAATTATGGTAGAGATGATACAATTTTAAGTGGTTCAATCTTTCGTTTAGGTACAATGTGACGCACCTTTAGCATTTTTGTTCGTTTAAATAGTTAGGACTTAAGAGTCTTAACTATTAAGAATCAGGACACAAGGTTCAAATTTTAATTTTAAAAAAAAAAAAAAAGTAAAATTCGAAGATAAAAAAAATAAATAAATAAAAATTCACAAAATCATGCATCTAGGAGCGCATTAGGCGATAAATAAAGAAGTTCCCAGCCTCTCCGCACTCCTAAGCTCTAGACGAAACATTCCGAAAGCACTACGTTTTCTTTATGAACTTAGCTTATCACCTCGAGGTTGGGAAGCACTCTCCATGTTATTCTCCCACAAGAAGGGGATCTTTTCTATTTAGTGCAATTCGCTCCCTGTCTTTCCTAGTTGACCCCTCAATTGTCCAGATTTTACAAATTAATCCTTGAATTATCTGACGTAAACTATTCAGTACCTAAATTTTTGTGTGTGGAAAAGTTGTCCGCAAATGGTTTGCCTTCTGCAAGAGAGCCCTTGAATTTTTTTTTGAAGTTGCAAATCAGTCTCCAATCCATTAACCAATTCCAGCATGTCACTTTTAGACCCATTTAAGGGCTGGATGAAGATAGGCCAACATGCCTCATCAATCAGACCCAAATTTATAGATTGACAACCTTTGGTATCCTCATTGTAATCCATAGTAGAAAACTAAAATTCCGTAATAATGAAAAAGATTGAAATATTTGTCAACTATAGAAGTCAATAAAATCTGATTTCAGTATGAATCTGACTCTATCACTTTTAATTTGACCTGTGATGATTCGGTGGATCATATCATCAAGAGGTGCAGGTGCTCCGGAGATAGTGCAAGTATTGGTCAACGCAACTTGTAGGGACTGCCACGTTTACTTTTACAGCATCCGTTTGATCAGCATCAGGCAGTAAGATGCAGTACTTGTCACAACACACGGGTCCCACCTGAACAGGTCTCCCCATTCCAAAGTCAACACTATCTAGCCCCAGCCTTGACCACTGTGTCAAGATCATCACACCAACTGAGTCAACACTCGCCAGGGTCGAACTCACTGATTCCACTACTTCTCTCACGTACTCGTCATCCACTCTTTCTTTTGCTCTCTTCACCAACTCAGTTGCATATCCCAAACCACCTTCTGTCAAATCTCTAACAAATGTTTGGGCACAGCCTAAAACAAATGCATTGCCGTAGTAACCGATCGGTAGACTCGGCTTGACTCGTTTGCGAATATTTACACTGAAGATGAGTTTTAAAATTTGATTCGATGGTAAATTCAATGCTCTAGCCCAACTTCTCCATACGTGAGCCGAGAGAACTTCAAACGACGTGCATGGATCATCATTGTTGATTTCACTCGTTAGTGCCACCAATTTCTTTAACTCGTTTAAGTTTCTTTTGTCGAATGTGATAGAAGTGGGCACGAGCTTTTCTTGAATGTACCTTGAAGCAAACCCACAAAGGTCGGGGACACTTCCGAACTCGTGATGACTCAGTTTGTTACTCTGAGCTGTCCCGAATACGGTAGGGCACAAGAGATGTCGGCTCCACACCGGTTTTGGCTTTAACTGACCATTTCCACGTCTGCCAGCGGCTAAATCGGCGAACGAGTTGAGAAACTCGCCGCTGCCTATGCCGTCAGACAAGCAGTGGTTAAAACCAACAGCCAAGGTGGCGCCACCGTCTGATAGCCATGTCAGTTGCACCACCAACGGCGGCGAGCCATTGAGTACGTCCGTCGCGTACAACGACAAGAACTCTCTCCACTGCTCACAATTTCTTGGGCATTTCTCCAACGCAGAAACAGTAGAATCAGAAACTGCTTCAAGAAAAACCGCACCTTGTGCTCGACAAACCACCTCCAGGCCAAGCCCATCGGCCCGAGTTCTCACTCTCCCAGCCAATGGATAGTAAGGAACCAAAACCCGGCTCAACCCGGCTTTTACATTCTCTATAATTGCAAATTTATCCAAGCCACAACAAGGTTTATACACCAGCAGATACTCAACTGTAAAACGTACAAAAAGTTGAGAATCTAGAGTAGAAAGCTGAAGATTATGAACTGGGGTTGGCTCCGCAGGGGTGATCAAATCAGCTTCTTTTACATGCACACAATTTGACATTTTTATGTAATGAATTTTGGAGTAATTTGATACAAGAATGTTGATATATATACCCACATATTTATATATAAAAATAGGGTGGTCATATTGGGCCGGTGAGAGTGGGGTTGGGTGGGTTGGTGGTGCATTATTGTTTTTTTTTTTTTTTGCAATACGAAAAAACAGAAGGGCGGTCCATGGGGCGATGTGGATTTTATTTGTATCCCTGTGTTTCTTTTTTAGTTGTACTGTGAAAGATTTGTGCAAGATTCTCCAGGCATAACTTTATGGGAAAAAAGGAAATAGAAAACAAATGAAAACAGGTTGGATTTTGCTTTCTGTCTGTTCGGCGGAGTGGAAGATTTCATGTCATCTCTCTGAATCTTTCACATTTTTTATTCATTTCAGTTCTCATGTGTTTCTGGGGACGAGAGTATACCGATTACTTACCGTTCTATTTCAAACACCTAGACTAATTTTTCTCTGAATAAAGCCGTTCGAACAGGACCACCTTAGTAACATTGCTTTTTTTTTTTTTTTTTTCTTGCCTTCTATCCTTAAACTTGTGTTGCTCGATTGTGGCCTACTTTCATTCTTAGAGTATCCATGTGAGATGAAGCGCCTCTTAAAAAAAAAAAAAAAAAAGACCCAAAGCAGCATAAGTAATTTATCGCGTAACCTCTACGGTAAACATAGTTAATTTTAATCGAATATGTATTGAAAATCAGACCAACATATGCATGACTATCGTGACAACTTTATAGGTGGACCTAAATCAAATGAAAACAATTGGTCCTATCAAATGATAAATGGTCCCAAAAATTATCATTATTAATAAACAAAAAAAGCAGAGTGATGTCATAACAAGAAGATTCGAGGCAGAGTACTGTATAATGGCAGATTGCTACTCAATAGCATCGTCATGTGCCAAATAGAAGATTTCTGCTTTTCGGACGTGATGTGGATCAACATTGGCTCCATCATGGCTATGGAATTTGATGGGCGTACCACCACCTCACAAAAGAGGGGGTCTGCATCCAATAAAAAAATTGTGGGCCCTCCTCTTCTGAGAAGATGTGTGTACGAGTAGCAAAATTCTTGTGGCTATTGTTTTTTATGCAGAAAAGTAGTTTATGAGCTATTTTTACGCTTAACCTTAAGCTTTGAAAGCATGTTTTGTTACTTGGACTCTTCTGTTAGGGCAGTGCTACAGTTACAGGGACCTGATTTACAGGCCCCTGCCAGGGAAGACACACGGTGGACCCCATGATAATTTTATTTTTTTTAATACATGTGGGCCCCCCGCACAGTGAGGGGCCTGTAAGCAGCCTGTGAAAGAATGCCCTGTACGCAGGGCATTCTCCCTTCTGTTAATGTTTGCAACCTTAGATTTAATTATTGTGCTGGTCGCTTGTTCTATAGTCTTGCACATTCTTCAACCTTCAAGAGATATCGAGTCTTAGTCTAAAGTTGGGGTTTCTTGAAGAAATAGCTCTTATTTAGTAAACGATTTTAATCTAGTCAAATTTTATTTTTAATCATATATTTTATTGAAGTCACGACTTTTAATCAATTTTTTAACCATGAATTTCATGGAATTCAACAACATAAAATCGCGAAAGCTTTGTAAAATAGGGGCTTAGTGTTTTTCTATACTTTACAATTGTATTGTTTTTGTTGTGCTCTTCTTTCACTTGTATTAGTACTCAAGTGGAAGAATTATCTTCTAAATTAAGGGGCTTTTCAAATGTACCGTTCTTGGCTTGAGTACCAAGACATTGTGCTTATTTTATTTTGTACTTGTGCTCTATGAGACTCAAAAGATCTAGTCACGTGACTCTCCTCTATTGCCCTACGAACAATGCCTTCGATGTTGTAAGAATTGAGCTTTGGAAATGAATACTTATTAATGATTTCCAACAAAATAATGAAAAATATCAAATGTCGAAAATGATTGAAATGCCCTTATCAATTTCTTATAATTGAATAATTAATGCACAACCTTGTATTCAAATACAAAAAATCTAATAGGAAAAACTTAAGAAAGATTGAAAGAAATATATATAACATAGTTAACTTTAAGAAATATGAACCACTTTAATGGATATCACCCCATATCATTCCCCTTTAGATTGATTGGAGAGTAATTGTAGCATAAGGCATCTATTTATAAACTTTATACATATATAATATATTGCCTTTCAATGCATGCTTTGAAAATTATGTACCATAAGTGTTGGAGTTTTTTTTAGGCATTGAATGTAAAATAAAGAAGATCGGAATATTATCTGATCATCTGTCGCTTTGTTCCACAACAAATCTACATAAATCTTAGTCCTAATATTACATAAAAAGTATATGCTTTGAGCTTAGCTTTTAGGATTTTTCTTTTCTTGTTTTGAATTAATGTTGATTTCCTTTCTTTATAGGGAAGCATAAATATCTCTCTTTTCATTGCAAAGGGCAGTTGGGATGGCAGGTTTGACAATAAATTCTTTATTATACGACTATTCCAATCTTCTTGAAGAGACAACTTTACAATGATCAAGGAAGACAAATTAAGGTTCATTCTCTCGATCATGTTACCAAGGGACCTAAATCTGTATAAATTTGAATATAAAAATCACGCATGACTTCACGTGATTTAGATATGGAGGTTAAATGGTATGAAAGTTTTTTTCTCCAACTTTAAATCTCGTGAAAGTTGAATATAAATTAAGGTTCATTCTCCCGATCATGTTACCAAGGGCCCTAAATCTGTGTAAATTTGAATATAAAAATCACACATGACTTCACGTGATTTAGATATGGAGGTTAAATGGTATGAAAGTTTTTTTCTCCAACTTTAAATCTCGTGAAAGTTGAATA